TAGGAAATTTACAAAATATCTTCATGGAACATGATGTTTACTAAATATCCTAATGATTTTTGGCATAAAATAAAAATCGATAATTTTGACTGATACAATGTATTTGTTGGCTATTACTACAAATATACCCCAGCGACTTAAGACTGCTTTTGTGCTGCAGGGTCACATATGTTATAAATAAATGGTATGTCATTTGTGTTGGGGGTCTTTTTGGCCCCGATTGGTTTCCATATAAATCGCCAAAAATCAACACTACAAAAAACACTAAAGAGACAGTTTTACACAATACCTCCACTGTAGTTTGTTAAAGACAAAAATCTAAAACATTAGAAATTGTGTGCTTAAATTGTGCTAAAAAATAGTTCTTCCGTTAGTGTTGGGGTCAAACTGACCCCCAGCGGTTTCCATGCAAATCGACAAAAATCAACTCTACGAAAAACACTAAAGGGTCATATTTTTACGTAAAACCTTTATTGTAGCTTGTTGTAGATAAAAAGCAATAAAGTAAGAAGTTATGAACCCTTACTGTAGTAAATTATTGTAATAAAAACAACAGCTCCTCCATTTGTATTCGGGTTCAAATTGACCCACATGTTTTCATTAGAATAAAAATTTGAGAAAAAAAGCTGCAGACACAAAATAAAACCGTTTCTTTGATTTAGTTTGTGAACGGACTAGTATCTGAGATCCCAAAAAAGTAACATCCTTGGATTTATTGACAATGAAACAGCTTGGATGATTCGATTTTGAGTGAACTTCAGCTCTTAATAATATTTTAGTGTTTGAGAAGCTACAATAAAGATTTTCTGTTTCTGACTGTTTTGCAAATTGCATGGAAACCAATGGGTCACCAAACCTTGCGCAGCCTTTCCAAAACACATCTGGGTCTCATTCATGACTAGGGTTGGGAATCGTTTGAATTTGATCAATTCAGATTCCGATTCTTTTTGATTCCAATGTGATTAAATAATCATATCAAACATTTATCCTGTGTCTCTTTTTTTGCAAACCATTTATTTAATGTGTGCCTTTTTATCGTTCGAGTCACTTATTAAAAGTTGCTAAAAGTTGCCAAATAAATGTTAAAAAATTGCTACATTTGTTGCTAGATGCTTTTAGAAGAAACAGTTGCTAGGGTAGTGTGAAAAGTTGCTAAATTTAGCAACAAAATTGCTAAGTTGGCAACACTGTTTGGAGCGCTTAGATTAGCAAGCAAGGTCCTGGCAGATCGCTAGCTCTGGTCCTCACAGATGAAGGAAGAAAAAGCGCATAGGAATCGATAGGCGGCATCGAAATTTTAATTTGACAAGTATCCAATTCTGGAATCAGAATCGATTTTCGATTCCCAACCCTAGTCATGACCCCAAAATTTCAAGAAGAAATGAATAGTTTAACCAGCGTTTCAAGCAGTTTGGAAACCGATTGTGGTTGCATCGCACTGACCGCCGATGACGCCGATGCAGATGTAGAGCTGCACGACGGTGTTGCAGAAGGAGGCGCTGATCATCCCGATGGCACACAGAAAGCCGCCCAAAATCATGATGGGACGGCAGCCATATGTGTTCACCAGAATACTGCTGATAGGACCTGAAACACAGAGCGAAGCCGCTGAAATCCAGTAAAGACAACATAATCAGCTCCCTCCTGATCAACTAAAACCAACCACCTGTGGGACGCTTGGCGCTCATTTATTTTGTTGTCCTTTTTCTCTATCAAATATTTTAGTAATCATCATATATCGTTTGAAAGCTTAGAAGCCCAAGATTCATCCTGCAAAAACATTTTGAAATCAGACATTGCGTTACCATGGAAATGGTACTTTAAAATCTTTTGGCGGTCTCCTCCCCCTTAGTGGGCGGTGTCAAGTGTCATATTACTAAAAGCATTACGGTCAAAACTTTTTATAATCTTGACATAAAACATATCATTGGAAAGGTCTTTTGAGTCTCAGGATTCCATATTTGGTGGTTATTTTGTGATAGAAGTAATATTGACAGAGAAATCTAGACATTTGTGACAGAAACAATGCATCAAAAAATTAAATGGAGTTTTGATGGCACCCGGTGGCTGTTTGTGATATAACGCCCTAAATAAAATCTCACTCATTTTTTTTCATAGCAACTTCAAATTTGGAACATAACTTTAGACATACGGCTTTACCTTTTTAGCAATTTTAGAGTAAAACCAGTTATGTAAAATATTTATTTTATATAAAATATAATAAAAACCGTACAGTGCATTTTTGTTACAGTAAATTTAAATTTCTATAATTTTTTGATTGAAATAATCCCACTTCTGCAATAATCTGCTGACTGTCTTCTTTAAAAAGAGACCAACCTTTCCTCTGTATTCCAAAGTGTTCATGAATTATAACAATTTAAGTTTGGATAGTGCACTTTAATGCCTATTTTAAAAAATAGGGGGTGACAGTTAAGGGGTTAATAATTTTTTTAACTGAAATAAAATCAAATACAACTTACATAAAAACTAAATATTTAAGCTAGTTATTTTACTTCATTATTATTTAATAACTTTATTACTATATAATAATTGAATATACCATAAAATATTAAAACAAAACATATATAAATGACAAAAACGCAACAAAAGTACTAAAATTAAAACGAATTCAAAATATGAATAAAAATGAAAATATCTCAAAGATACACTGTGACCAACAGGTGTTTATTTACTGAAACATTTTATTTAATGAGTAAATTCTGCATCATGAGCTTTCAGACGTCGTTCTGTGAAAGATGCTATAAAGAGAGTGTTGTAGATCATCAGGTGTGTGTTTGTGGTTAAAATCAGGTCGGCACTTCATTTAGCTCCTGAGCTGCAGGGCAGATCTCATTAACATGCGGTCACACAGCCTTCCCATGATCCTCAGCGTGAAAACACACACAGTGTCATGGTCCGGCTCACTTCAGAGCTGAACAGAAGCACTGCAGACAGACAGATCTGAGAGAGTGTGTGTGTGTGTGTGTGTGTGTGTGTGTGTGGTGTGTCTGTGTCTGTGTCTGTGTCTGTGTGTCTGTGTCTGTGTCTGTGTCTGTGTCTGTGTGTGTGTGAGAGAGTGTGTGTGTGTGAAATATTAAAACATCTTACCAAACCCAAAAGTTTGAACAGTCGTGTGACTCTCCACAAAAGAACTAAAGCATAATCGTGTGTTCATCAAACAGTCCAGTATGAGTATGATTGTGTTTATGTGCTTTATTCTGTGTTTACACCTGCATGTGTCCGTATCAGGGTGAAAACAACACACTTTCACTGTTTTCACTGAATCACACTCACACACACACACACTCTCTCTCTCTCTCTCTCTCACACA